GGGGCGGCGGCGGAGCGGCTCACAAAGGTGCGCGGCCCGGCCCGCTCCCGCCTCGCACTCTCGCCGTGGGGCGTCGTGCAGCTGATGTTCCGCACAGGCATGCGGGCGCCTCGGGGTGCAGCTGTCTCCGCATTTGCTTCAATCCTCAGCTTGTAGCAGCTTAATGCGCAGCCTGCCTGGCGTTTCGCTGACGGGCCCGGTGCCCCGCTGCTTAACGCCTCGATCTGCAGGCGGAGAAGGTGGCCGAAAAGTTTGTTGCCAACCGCATCAAGCCGGCGCTGCAGCGGGCCCAGGAGAAGGACGTTGTGGAGGTGGGCGGGGGCTGATTGCATTGGCACGGCGTTTTTTAGGTGGGGGGTTGAGAAGGGCAGCTGTGTACCCAGCCTGCGTCGTCCATTGGGCGGCAATGGGTTGGATGGACGATGCGACGCGTCACGATGGAAGGAGGGGCGGGGAGGCGGGGGTCAAGGGGGCAGGGCAGCAAGGGCGGGGCAAAGGGACACGGGAGCGGAGAGGGGGTGAGCGGATGGGCGCGGCCGGCAAGTGTGAACATGTGGGAGTGGGGGGAGTTGTGGAGCACTGCAGCAAATCGCTCTTACTGTGCCGCCGCGGTGCCTGACACGTCGCGCTTGGCCCACCACAATGCCCGCAAACATGGCTCCCCGCACACAACAGACAACCCTGTTCCCTTCACTACTCTGTCAGCCCCTCCCTCCCACCAAACACACACGCACGCACGCATGCAAGCCCTTGCTTACCAACTCGCACACACACATACACGCACACACGTTTACACGCGCGTCCTCTCACACGCACTTGCTCACTCACACACACCACACACACACACACACTCTTCCACGCGCCCCCTCAGGTGGTGCGTGAGAGCGGCACCTACCTGAAAGGCCTCTGGGACCGCCTCAACGGCGGCGGCGCCCGCGGCGGCCGCCGCCTGCCCGCTGGGCTTCCGCTGCCGGCGTCCTCCAAGAAGGAGGTCGAGCGCATCATATCCGAGCTGGGGCGCGAGCTGGAGAGCCTGGAGAAGCGGCTGCAGGAGGCGTCGAAGGCGCGGGAGAGCAAGCTGCGGAAGGTGGGCGGGCACAGGGGCCGAGCCGAGTTTCTGGGGCGTGGGGTCGGGCCTGGTGCCTGTGTGCTGCTTGCTGTCGTAAGGGTCGTTTTCCAAGGCGCCCGCTCTGCCTTGGGGTGTTCCCTGATTCCAGCACAGGCGCATCCCTGCGGCTCGGATGACCACGGGCGCGCACGACGCTCCGGGCGGTGCACCCCTGATCCCCCTCCCTTCCCCCCAAAGC